TCTCACGGTACTCTGCTGCATAATTGCTCCAAATGTATTGTGGATCTTTTTCGCTCGTTAGGCTAGGAACACCGTCTTGTGCAGCCGTGTCGCTCTGTGATTGCCTGGGGGAAGGGCCGTGTAGTACCGTGCCCCGCTCGGTCTCGCGGCCCTTCCTGCCATTCTGCCCACCCCAAACCCTAACCGCGCTGCCCCTTGCCTTAGCGGACGTGTGTACCTAGGTGGCCCATGAAATGGATACCGTACTCCCGACATTCAATTCCCGGGGGCAGAAGCGCCGTCTGGTACCGTGCCAAGCTCGGCCACGCGGTCTCTCTCCTGCCAAGGGCCTTGCGCCCCAAACCCTAACCATTTGGCAGCTTGCCAATGCCTTTGCGATAGGGCCTGCGCCGCGCCAGGCCCCCGCAAGGTCTGGGCTCTTGGAACCACGTGCTTGGCGACACCGCCAGATGGCCAGCTCATCTAAAACTGTAGCAAGACTACAGCCTACTATTACCCCCGAAACAAAATTGATTGCTGGGGCGGAAGGCCCGTGTAGTCCCGTGCCCCGCTCGGTCGCGCGGTCTCTCTCCTGCCAATTGCCTTGCGCCCCAAACCCTAACCAATAGGTTGCTTGCCAATTGCTTTGCCATAGGACCTGTACCGCGCCAGGCTCTGGGAACATTGTGCACGCGCTCCGCTCGGTAATCCTGGGCGAACTTGGGTCCTGCTTGGTATTGTGCCTCACCGAGCCACAATGGCAGGTTAGCAAGTCGCCTTGTGCTGATCTCATCGCCATGCTTGCTTATGCCCCAGTATTTCTTTTAAACCGCTCCGCCATATGGTTATGTGGGATGGGATGCGGGATACCCCCTACCCTGCTTTCCCAACGGGAACACGTGCCAGGTCGCTCGGTCTCTCTGTCTATCTTCCTGCCACTCTGTCCCGTATCCCATTCCCTAACTCAAGCCAACCCACAATTTCCTACAGGTAAGATGTGATTAGGTGGGCACTGTGCCAGCTTTGCTCTGCGCTTTACTCAGTTTGTCTTGGCAGAGCACATCTATGCTGTTCACATTGCTTGCTTCCCTTCAAGCACCGCCATGGTTGGGCTCCCAGCCCTCTGCAGGTGCTTTGCGCGATGTGGCGGGCAGTCAACCCTACTTTGCATCTCCCTTATGACCCATTTGTCAAGGACGGGACTGCTGGGGGGGACAACCGTGTAGTACCGAGCCCCGCTTGGGAGAAATTCACTTTGCTTGTCTGCATTGTCCGGCTGACGACTCCAACTGCAGTGTGCGCCCCTGCTGAGCACCGCTCAGTGTTTGCTTATTTGCTCCTTCGTTGGTGGTGTACTCAGCCTATTCCCTAAGCCTACCCTCGTGTCTGCAAGGTTTACCTCAGTGCCGGCCCCGCTGCGCCTGAGTATTCCGTTGCAACTTCCAACGCTTGGGCTGAAGTACCAGGTGGGGCGTGCTCTGGCCTTTTGGCTAGCCTACATACCCCCCATCTGGCATCCCTACTCTGTTGCAAATTGACAAGGAAACTTTGACTCTGCGTTGAGTTGCTCACACCGCTGTGTGTCGACTTCTCATCCTTGGGTCTGTGGTCGATGAGCCTTGTAGTATCGAGCCCCGCTTGATCTCTTGGTTCTCGACACACTGAGCCCATCGCCAAGTCCTTCTGCCTCCTTGATGTGCGGCCGAGATTGCCAAGCAGGAAGTGTATGGGTGCACTCCCTTTTACATTGCGGACCCGGCTCTTCCCTTTCTTTGGTTGGCTTCTTGCCATGAGGCGTTGTGTGCAGTGTTGCGTGCACTGCGCTATCCTCGGGTCCAGCACTCATGGAGTAGTGACAGCAACGGTGGAGCCATGTAGTGTCGAGCCCCGCTCGATCTCTCGGCTCTCATTGCTGAGACTCAGCCTTGCGAGGCAGGCGTGTCCCCAAGTAGCAAGCTCCGAGTGTGTGCTCTCGCCTGAGAGCGGCGGGATGCGCAACGGCTGCCGCCGTTGCGCCTGTGCTGCCATAATTCGTGCGTCTGGTCTCACTCCGTTCAGTGCCTACAGGTGATGCCTGTGCGCTGCAATCTCTTGTGCATGTCCTGACACATGTTTGCCATTTCTGTGTCATCTATCCATGAGTGATTTTTTGAATCCTCACGCCTTGGATCTGGGCTGACTATTTGATTTAGTTCTTGCGGTTCACTCTTTCCGTATGGCCATTCGTGGGGGTTAACGATGCGCAAATGTGCCCCCGGCGGATTGAGTGCGTTCTGAACTTTAAGCCCGCTGTTTTGGACGATGCGTTCGGCTTGACGAAGCTCAGGTCGCGCTGGCTCCTTTCTCTGCCTGGTATTTCGCTTTCTTATGAGCGCCACAATGTCTGTCTGTGCTTGGTTTCCCTGGTTGGGTTCTGTGTTTTGGGTGGTTCGTTGTCTGTTCGCTGTTTGTGATCCATTGTATCGCTCATACGATTTCTTTTTCACACTTGTCTCACTTTTTCAGTATTCGATGTACATTTGGTTTCGTGACCGATGGCAATTGCCCCAAGGCGCGCAGGTGACAAAAAACGGGTCCTAGTCGCATTCTGTGCGTCTCGGAAGTTTAAGTTGCCCGGGCTTAAAGCGCTGTTTCTGGCCTTGTAAGTGCGTTTCTGTTGCGGAGCTTTGTGGCTCGAAAAGCCTGATAAGTGCTTTCCAAGCGCAACGGTGACTTAGAGCAGAAGGTTGGTTGGGTTGGAATTCTCTTGGCTGCATGTGAGCCTTGGGTTGCGTCTCCGTCAATCCTGCGCCGGCAACAGGATTGCATTGCTGGGGTGCTGGGTAGGGCAGCGCTCGCAGACAGGCCAGCGCATCCTGGTGCCGCACGGTCACGTTGGACGGTGGCAGCTGCAGCCGCCGCACGCAGCTCGGGGCAGTGGCTGCTGCTGCCGTGCGAAGGAACTCCGAACAGTCGTTCAACTTGCTTGCCACCGCATTGCGCGACCCGCAGGAGTAGGGTGGACTAGCAGGCATTTGGTGCAGAATTCCCTGAGCCTGCTGATTGGGCCGATTTGCAGCTTGATAGGTCCACCTGGAAGCTACGTGGCAGAGCGACAATGCTGAGGCCAGGCTAGCTTTCCGGAACCGAAGAAGGGCGAGTGCAGCACCGACACGTCGCCCAGCAGCAGGTCCAGGTGTGGAGCCAGCCACGTGCATATACAAGCCCCGTTCAAATTTCCCAAGGATGGACTCTATGGCAGGGCGCGCGTTTTTGGGCCGAGTGTCACAAAACGCTGCGCTCTTGCATACACAAACCCCGTTCAATCCTCCGGAGGGACGGATTCTATGGCAGGGCGCAGGTTTTGAGGTGATTGTCAAAAAACGCTGCGCTCGTGCATATACAAAAGTGAGTTCTGGCAAACAAAAATGTGCCGTGCTATGGTGCTTGCGTTGCCAAGTTCCTTTAGCTCAGTGGTTAGAGCGATGGTCCTATGAGCCATAGGTCGCGGGTTCAATTCCTGCAAGGAACATGCGCCCATTCTAAGCAAGTTTGAGTTCGGAAGATTGCAGATCGCTGAAGAAGACTCCAGCCTTTCTGTGAGGTTCCGGCCTTGTCTGTTGCGGCAGTGTTACATTCAACGTGTCTTCCAAAGGTGCACGCTGCATGCCGGCTTTTACTTTCAGGTCCCGGACTCGCTGGCCGGCTTCCGGAACTTGCGTAACGATGGGGAAGATCAAGCTTTTCCCCACGCCTGAGTACACCAGCAAGCAAGCCTCGGACCCCGTGGTGCCCCTGGTGCCATGCACGGGCATCTTCCTCGCCCAGCAAGTCGGGCAAGACCGTGGCGCTCATCAGCCTCATCCTGGAGCAGTACAAGGGCGTGTTTGTCTACGTTTTCAGCCCAAGCGTCAACATCGATGATGGCTGGATCCCCGTCAAGAAGTACATCGAGCAGGACCTGGGGGTGAACACGGAGCGTGAGCAGGCTTACTGGGACGAGTGGGATGAGTCCGCCTTGCGGCATCATCCAGCAGCAGCGCAAGATCACGGAAGCGTCCAAGAAGTTGGAAATGAAGAAACTGTACCAGTCATCGACGACTTTGCTGACACGCCGCAGCTCCACAAGCCGCACGGCGCCCTTGACACGCTCTTCATCCGAGGCCGTCACATGCAGATTAGCACCTGGGTGAGCTCCAGAAGCTGAGGCCATCAGCGCTGTGAACATGCAATTGCTCTGCTGCTGGAGGCTCAACCAGCACGAGCTGAGGAGCTGAGCCTGCTGCCGAACCGGCCCCCCAAGTCCGCTAGGCCCCCTAACCCTGGGTGCCCCGGGGCCTCGCTGTTCTCTCGAGGCCGCCGGGGTCAGTTACGGGCGCGTTCGCTTACGTCTGACATCCACGATAAACAGAACGCAGTTTTAGAAGGGCTCTTGCCCCGCCCGTGCCGGGGTTCACCTGCAGGTCGCGGACCTCCACCAGGCCGCATTGCTTGCCCATAACCCAGACCTGCCAGGCCTCGACGCGGGCCTGGCACGCAGCCCGCCAGCCTCGTTCCGCGCGTCCAGTTTGCACTTCAGGAAGGTCGCTCCCTGTCGGGACTCCTTGAGGCAGCTCTGCCACCTGTCCTTCACATCGCCGTAGTCGCCCCAAATGCGGCTCGACCGCGAAGACAGCTTCTCGAATTCCTCCCAGGCCGCCCAGACCTTGGAATCCGTTTCCATCGCAAGGCAGGCGTTCTGCCTGGGTCCTTGGTCCTCGCCGAAGCTGCTGGGCTGCAGAGGACGTGAGTCCACGCGGACTGCCAGACGATGGCGCCCTTGGGGCTCGTCTGCACCTCGCCCAGGGCGAAGCTAGTGGCGATGGTTCGGGACTTTTGCTTGCCGGTCCTTTTCCTATAGGGCGGACAACAAAATGGTCCGACCAAAGGGACGGCCCTGGCTCAAGCGGCTCGAGGGCCGCCATTTCCGGAAAAAACACGTTTTTGTTTGTTTTTCCGTAAATTCAGTTTTGCATCCGTAAATTCAGTTTTGCATGGTTTTTGAGCGTGATTTTGCATGACAGGTTGCCGGTGTTGCGTTTTTCTCACGATTTTCACGTTGTCGGTCGTGTTTGGAAAGAGCTTCCCCAAGCACGTGAGCCTTGTGAAGGCGAGATTCGGGGACACTCTGGGGTACGGGGCGGCAGGGAACCGCTCGCGGGTGCAAAGGCGTGGTTTCAGACTCACAGTTTTTCTTGACCTCACGTGCCCTGTGCCCAGACTTCGACGTGCAGATCTTCTCGCAGCGCCGCGAGTTGCCTTTTTGTCACTTTTTGTTGGCCGCTTGCAGGTGGATCCAATTCGTGCTACTGGGGACTCTTTGGCTGGGCACCTGTGCGGATTGGTGTCAACTCGGCCTTTGAGCAGTGTTTCAGGTTTGGTCCTGGATTTTGAAGGTCGTGTTTTCGCGTGCCAGGCTTTGTTTTGACATCGGGGCATACTGCCCGGGCCTTCGCTGCTTCCGTTGTCATGGCCATCAATGCCAACTGATCTTTGAGGTTTGGGTCCCAACTCGCCAATCTGTCAGGCCCCCTGATCTTTGGCCTAGCGAGGCCCGGACACCCCCCCCCCGTCCCGTGCCAGGATTTGCGCGACTTCGAAGACGTTCTGCCTGGGCCTTTTTGCTGATTGCGCCGTCAGTGTTGATGCGCGGATTTCAACTGAGCTTTCAGGGTTGGGCCCAACCTTGATCTCTTTGACCCGGTGAGGCCCAAGTGGTTTGCGTTGCTTTTTTGTGTGCTTTTCCCAACCCCGTCAAGCCGCGCCGTCAGGCCCGTGTATCTTTGGAAATCGTGACCTCGTTGAGCCAGGCCCGCATTTTGTATTGTCTCTCCAACCTGGTGAACCCTTGACCTTGAGAGCGATTGCCCCAACCCCGTCAAGTCGTACTGTCAGGTTTTTTGTAAGTCAGGCAGTGTGGTTTCCTCAAAATCGCCTTTTTTTTTCCTGGCGCTCAGGCACTCCGAACTTTTGAGCTTGCGCCTCGAGCTCCACGTTCCGCCCGGGCCCTCGCCGCGTTCCATTGTCATGGCCAAGAGGTCCCGTGCAGGTTATTGTCATTTGATCTTTGTCACCAATCTGTCAGCCCCCTTGATCTTTGACCCAGTGAGGGTCCCTGGGGTCCCTAGGGTCCCTGGGGTCCCTGGGTCCCTGGGCACGCGGGTGCCATGAAACAACGTCCTTCCATCAAGACGTCTCGCCAGGGTCCCAAAGTGCATCCATCCTTGTCAACACACGGCGTTTTCAGGGATTTTAGGGACCCCAGAAACCTTACGGACCCTAGGGACCTCAGGGACCCTAAGGGACCTTAGGGACCCCAGGGACCTTAGGGACCCCAGCAACCCTGGGTCTTGGGGGCAAGAGATCCCGTGAAGTGTGAAGTCATCTCTCAAGCTTCGGTTGGTTGCAGCTTGCCACAAAGACGCGCGGAAGGGCAAAGCTTCTGTTGTTTTTCCATTCGAGCAACTTGCCATACATCTATTTATCTTCGTGTACTCATATCTATTTATTTTCATACATTTTATCTTCATATCTCTACGTATTTGTATCTCTTTATGAATTTTCATATATTTATATCTTTGTATTTCTACAAATTCATATCTTTATATCTTTGTATCTTTATACCTTTCTCTTTATATCTTTATATCTTTATGTCTTTGTGCCTTTATGTTGGTATGTCTCTACATGGTGTTTTCTACATCCGTGTTTGTAGTTGGGAGATGATGTTGTGGTGTTGTGGCCCATTTGCAATGTGTGTGTGTGTGTGTGTCTTGGCTTCGGCATTTTGTGTTTTTGCATGACCCTTTGATGCTGGAGAATGCCCAGGCTGAGTGGTACCCGGCGTGAAGTTCTTGCCAAGATCCCTTCAAGCCCCAAAATCCTTGGGGCCACCAAGGATCTCTTGAAGTCCTGGGTCGCTGGGTCCCTGAAGTCGGAGTCCCTAGGGTCCCTGAAGGGTCCCTAAGGTCCCTAAGGTCCCTAAGGTCCCTAAGGTCCCCAAGGTCCCTGAACCCGCCGTGCGTTGACAGGGATGAGCGCACTCTGGGGCCTTGGCGAGACGTCTGATGCACACGTGTGCAGGGACCCCAGGGACTCTAGGGACCCTAGGGACCTTAGGAGGGACCCTAGGGAATGTAGGGACCCTAGGGACCCAGGGACCCCAGAGGCCCCAGTGATCCCAGGACCCCAGAAACCCCCGCCCTTCAGCCCCTGGCGGCCCGGTGCCGATTTCGGCTGCTTGTTTTGCAGGCAGGCCAGTTTGGTATCTCGCTTGGACTTTGATGCAGCGGCAGGATGTGGGTTAGCCAGTCTGACGGATGGACGCTGCGAAGCCTTGCAAGGCTTGGCCCGACCGACCTTCAGGCCGCGAGTGAAAAGGAGGAGGAGCATCCAAACCCGTGCGTTGGTGTTGCCAAAGAAGCCAGTCAATCTTGTGTTTGCTCTGGAAACTTGGCTCGAGGGTACTCATCAACACTGACACAACAACAGCTCGCAGTGGTTGCCCGATGGGTCTAGTGCCAGTGCTTGAGGAATCGCAGGCCGCTCAAGCGCTTTTCGAATAGCCATGGCGATGATGCGGACCAGGACCAAAAGCCGAGGCTGGCAAGCTTGTGACGCTACCGTGCCCGCGGTAGGCAGCGGCCAGGTATGTGCCTCTGCCTTCTCGGGATTGCATTGGCGCTGCTCGTGCAGCCGAGCACGGCCTGGGTCTTGGGACACATGTTTTTCGAAGGTTTTCGGGTTTCAGGAGTCCCTTGTCGCCGGCGCCCAGGACTTTGCTCGAGGAGTTCCTGGGCTGAAGGAGCATGAAGTCCCTCCTTTGGATGTTCTTGTTTCGTGCTGAGTGCCAGGACAGCATGTTGGCCCAGTTCTCAGAGTTGCCCGCAGGCGCAAGCAGATTGCACTTTGGCTCTTTCAGGCAAAACGGCACCCGTTGCATGCCGGAGTCGCTCGGCGCGCCGGGGCTGCGCAAGAGGACTCCTCCGACCCGAAGCCAGTTCGCATCTTTTGCCGGCTGCCGCCAGGACACGCTCTTCTTCCATGAAGGATGCCAGCCATGTAAAAATCAGCAGTGTCCGCCTCCATGCGAAGTTCACAATGCTCTTGAAGTGTATTGGCAGACCCTTACCCTTTGACCCCCGGCGGCGAGATAGCATAGTCGTTGATCTTTGTGACTGTACAGGCAATTTGGGGCATTCGGGGAGCGAAAGGAGCTTTGAGTGTCAGTCCAGTGCAAGAGCATCGGCAAGGTGGCGTCTTTGACGGCTCCAGCAGCGCCAGCGGCAACCAGAGTGCTAGTAAACAAGCCGCGTAGGGTCGTGAACACGCGGACCAACATAACACGAAGCAGCAAGGACATGTTGGCACGCAAGAAGTCGTCCGCCGCCCAAGAGTGCTCATCAAATGCTTGAAGGCACTGGGCAAACATTGCTGACGTATCCAGCGGTAGGATTGGCCTTGCAGGCCCGTAAAGTTCAGGAATGGCCATGGCTGTGATGAGGGCCAGGATAAAAAGCCAAGGCCCGCAAGCTGATATGCTGCGCTGTTTGTTGTGTGGTTTTGCAAGGTGCGTGCCTCAGCCTGGGAATGCGCTGGCGTTGCTCATTGCAGTGGCCGAGCACGGCCTGGGTCTTGGGAACGTTGAGGGGTTGGCAGCTGACTCGTTCGGGCTTCAGGAGTCCCTGTCCGCCGCCCACGAGTTTTCGCGAGGAGTTCCCGGTCGGAAGGACCGTGAAGTCCCTCTTTGCGAATGTTCCTGCTTGTGCTGTGATGCGAGGACCGCAACGGCGCACCGGCCCAATCTTCAGACTTGTCCACTAACGCAAGCAGATTGACCCTTTTCGCATCCTGCGAGCTTAGTGAGGCATCGAGCCAGCGCTGGTTGCATGCTGGAGTCGCCTTGCGTGCCAGGGCACGAGAGGACCTTCGGACCCAAAGCTTGCAAGTTTGGACGATTGCAGTTGCCAGGACAACAATGCCGAGGCCTGGGGGACATGTGCATCGGGCTTGAACGTTGGGCTTGTTGGTTGTCAGGACCGGCTCGATCTCGAGGAGGCGGCGGGCCTTCAGAGAAAGCGACGTCCCAGCCTTGTCTCGCTCAGGTGGTCGCAGAAGCCAAACGGGTTGTGGACAACGGCACGCTGAAAGACATGCAAGTGGTCATGCGCCGCTTTAGCAGCACGTCAATACGTTCGTTGTGGATTTGCAGGCGCGGTTGAGCTCAGGAAGAGTGCAGCTGGTAGATCCAGCAGGGAAGTGGAAGGTTTGGGTTAATAAGCCCGAATTGGAGAAGCAGCTGCGGAAGTTTGTGGCAGAGGCAGCAGTGTTTGCTTCCTTTACCAACAGGTCAGATTCAGAAGCGCTTTCGTGACATTTTCAAAATGCACGTTTGTTGTGGGTGCTTTTCAGGCCAAAGCAGCCAAAACGGCATTGGAGGAGGCCGTCCGTTCGAGCGCGTTCGAGCGCTCGGCGTGGGAGTCGGCCTGGGCAGGACCTGCTCCTGGTGCGACAGCAGCGGAAGACGGGCCAGCGGCAGGTTGAGAGCGCCCAGCGGCAGGTTGAAAGCGCTCAGCGGCAGGTTGAGAGCGCCCAGCGGCAGGTTGAGAGCGCCCAGCGGCAGGTTGAGAGCGCCCAGCGGCAGGTTGAGAGCGCCCAGGAGCAGGAAGCGATGGCGGTGAGGCGTCTCGCTCGAGCGGAGGACTCGGGCAATGCGACAAAGGTGCAGGAGGCCAAGGAGGAGGTCCAGGAGGCGAAGAAGGAGGTTCAGGAGGCGAAGAAGGAGGTTCAGGAGGCGAAGAAGGAGGTTCAGGAGGCGGAGAGGAAGGTCCAGGAGGCGGAGAAGGAGGTGCAGGAGGCGGAGGTCAAGGAGGCGAAGGCAAGCGGCCGGACGAAGGAGTCCGAGGCGGGCGGAGTCGGTCGCTTCCGCCGGCCGGCTGCGTTCTGGGACTCTGATCGTTGCGTGCGGTTCTGAAATTCCCCGCGCGGCCCGCACATGGTTTTGGTGGGGCAGCCCTGATCGCATCCAGAGAACCAGGAAATCCCAAGATAGCATTTTTGCAGATTGCGGCGGTTCGTGTCCTTGGTAGGCTCGGTATGGAGCCCCCCATGAACGGATGGTTGCCATTCCTTGTTGGAGGTCGGTCATTCCTGCCGGTCAACATTGATTGAGACGTGCCGTTGATCCTTGTGAGTGATTTTGTCATTGCCTTCAGCTTGCTTTTCAAAGAGCAAGACCTGCCCTTCTGCCGTCGGGGAGAGGGAGGGCAAACTCTGATGTCTTTATGTCTCTGCACCCATTGGGGTCCTGGCTGCTGAAGGCCCAAGTGCATTCTGTGAATGTTCTCTTTGATGCAGTGAGTTCAACCATACATTCCCGGCTTTGCATCCACGGGCAGAGTTCCTGTTCGATGGTTTGGCCCGTTGTGCTGCCATTCCATCCCCTTCTATTGTTCAATTTTAGATGTACCTGCTCATATCTGCCTGATTTGAAATTCTTTTGCTGAGGCGGAGCCACCCGACTCGATAAATCCAACAATTGCTGATGTCCTTACACTCCTCCGCGCCCGATTTTGGAGACAGGCACGGAGCAGTTGGTGCGAGAAGTTGCTCGCGAAGAAGTTGAAGTTTGGAGCAGCCGACCAACTGCTTGCAACAGTTGGGGCCACATGGGACTATTGTGGGAAGGAGGTGCTCCGTGAAAGCATGCAGATCCCCATCCAGAAGCTGCACGAGCAAAAGGGGAAGAACAGTGACAAACAGCTTCATCCTTTGTTCATCGCATTTGCAGGCCCAGGGCAAGGCAAGTCCCGGTTGCTGACAGAGTTCCCGGGCCTGGTCGAGCTGTGCTTGCAGAATGTGTCTGAAAGGCAGAAACTGAAATTCAGCAAGCAAACGACGAGCTTCATGATCAGCTGCGAGAACGCCCTCTCTCCCGGGGACTGGGCCACGGAGGAGCTCAATGCCCAACGCTTTGTGGCATGCCGCATGCTGTGGCAGCTGAGGAATGCAAACAAGGAGGCTTTTCGGGAGGTCGGCGCTCCAGAGACTTTTGCAAAATTCCGCGTCGAATGCTCCGATAGCCTTGTTGCAGAGGATGTCTTTGCAGCTGTGCTGCGTGATGAGCTCGATCATAGCACGGTGGTGATCGGAGTCGACGGGATGCAAGGTCTGCCTGGATTTACTGACCGCAGTGATGCTGCGGGCAAGGACCTGCCATTCTATCAGGTGATGCAGGAGGTCTGCCGCCTCGTCAACCAAATGGAAGGCCCCTTTGTCGTAGCCTGTGTGGCCGCTTTGCAAAATGTGAAGAGTGGACTTGCTGGCAGTCCCCAGGCCCGAGTTTTTCTGGAGCTGCCACGCGTGACCGCCGTAACCCGCAACAAACAGCCGGTGCTGCCCGGCCACCGCCTAAAAGACCTCCTGGTCGAAGACATGGGCGGGCATGGCAGAGCTTTGGAGTGCCTTCTAGAGGCCTTGATGGAGATGCCCAACGCTGCAGCAACTGCCTTGGTGGGTGCAGTTATGAGACAATTGAGGCAGAAGTATCCTGACGCCACTCAGATTGAGCCGGGTGCAGACCTCAAGGAACTGCTTCGCGCAGCTCTGTCAGGCAGATGGATTTTGTCTGGCGAAATGGTCGGCAATCTAGATCCTGAGAAGGTGGAGCTTATCCGCGTCAAGTTCAAGGACGGCGACTCCTCGCAGTACCGCATCGACTTGCCCTACATTTGGTTGTACTTGATGCTGAGTTTGTCTAAGTTCTCTGACGATTTGCAACCGTGGAACTTGATGGACTACCGCTTGTTTGAGTCAGAACCAACCTGGCAACAGTGGGAAGAATTCAATGCCAGGTTTCGAGTGTTGCGAGCTTCTGCGTTTGAGGATGGACAACTAGTTGACATTGCCGATCTACACAGGGGTGCAGTGATCCAGCCTGACAGCTTGAAAAGCACCAAGGTCATCAACCGGCATCTGCAATTTGCCAAATCCAGGAAGCAATTGTTGTCGAGGTCCTCATGCTGCGGCAATCCCAAAGCTCGGACAAATTTACTTAAGGGACTGGGAATGCACCAGTGCGTAGTTGAAATGACAAACCAAAACCTTACAGTGACGTTGACTGACAAACTTGTTTTGGTCGTGAATGCTGCCGGAGCTCCAGCTGCTGATGCCTTTCTCATGTTGGAAGAGGTGAGGGCAGAGGGCAACAATCACACGATCTCTGAATGTTTGCAATGCAAGAAGGGCAATTCTCCATTCATAGTGGAGAACGAGCGTGAACAAGCATGCGACACAGCTGACATCCTGGTGCTTTTGCTGACAAGGACAGAGACTGTGCCACAAACCGGCGGACAGCGCTTGATCTTCGTATCTGAAGCGCAGTACCAGGAGTACTTTGGCTTCTACGCTGGTAGAGCCTTCTATCAAACCAGGGCGGCCAAACCTTGAAGGCTGAATTGTTGCTGCTGTGCCATTTCCTGGCCTAGAATTGGATCTCGGGGCTCAAAGAATTGCGGAGCATGAGGAAAAAAGTTTCTGGGTGCAGAACGAGCAGATTGGGGAACCGAGGAAGGCCATGGAACGATTTAGGGGGCTGTTGAGACCTTTTGTTTCCTTTTCTCAATGCTTGCATTTTGAGGGCAGCCGGTGAGTGACGAATCAAACGCATGAAAATGTGGAATTGGCTACATGCGATTTGGCCCCAAAGCCCATCAATATGCTAAGACATGTTTTTTTGCCTTGTGCTGGCCCGGCCTCCTGGGCTGCCCCAAGAAGTCTTCCAGCTGCCTTGCCGCAGCGGGCCGGCCGCGCCTCGTCAGCCTGCCCGCGGCGTTGCCGCTGCCCTGGGGCGCCGGCAGGGCCAGCTTCAGCAGGGTCTCCCGCCTCTCGGTGCTGCGGACCGTCATGGAGTCCACGGCCTGCAGCCGCTGCACGTCCCCGTACTGGGGGTTGAAGCTCCGGGCGGCGTTGGTGGGAGCCCTGAAGGCCCCCGCGTCCTCTATGGCCTTGATGCGGCGGTCGGTCAGATCCTTGTTGTGCTGGAACTTGTCCGCGTTGTCTTGCAGCAGCCGGAACTCGGTGGCCGGCTGCCGCTCCACGTCCTCTGGGGCCCCGTAGACCGTCTCGCGCGGCCGGGCGTTGTAGGCCCCGGCGGCCTGCTCGAAGTCTTGCGGGCCACTCGCGTGGCCAGGTCCTTCTTCAGGGTCTGGATGCCCCGGTCGATCACGGCCGTGGCGTTGCGGTCCTCGGGCCGCACGGCCTCCTCGGGCAGCTCCCGGTCCAGGGAGGCGAGCTCGTTGCCCAGGTCCGTGGTGACCACGAAGTTGCGCTCCTCGCCCACCAGCTCCCGGGTGGCCCGCTTGCGGCGCTCTTCTCTGCAGCGACTCCACGGCCGCCTCCCTGGTGAAGACGTCCATGACCACGAGGCCGTACTTGGTCTTCCCCTTGATGTTCTGGCTGAAGTCGATCGGGCCCCTCCGCCGCGGCGGACTTGCCGAGGGCCCTGGGCCGCGGGGCCTGCACCTGCCGGCCCACGTCGGGCTTCAGGCTGCGTGACGTCCATGTTCCGCTGCCGCGCAAGGCGGTACAGCTTGCGGGGGTCCCGCACATTGAAGTCGGACGTCCATTTTTTTACTTGTTCTTCCAGCTTGTCCAGCCGGGCCTGGAAGCCCTTGCACACCCCCCAGAGCACGCTGGTGAGGTGCGAGTAGTCGAGGGTCACCATCTCTGTGCCGTCACTCCACCGGGCGGTCCCTGTCAGGTTCTTCCACTTCGTTCCTGCGAAGTCGTCCGAGGCGAAGCCCAGCCTCAGGTCCCCGTTCATGTCGGGGCGCTTGTACTGCTTGGCCTCCACGGAGTCGAAGAGCTGCAGGAGCTCCCCCAGGTCGGCCTCGGCCATCTCCGTCTTCACCCGGCTGTCCGACAAGTTGGTGAAGCTCGTGTTGCAGACCACGTTGCCCGTGTTGCCGGCGATCACCAGGCAGCCGGGGTTCCTCTGGTTTGTGGTGAGGGGCAGCTGCGTCGAGAGGCTCTTCGTCTGGACCAGCGCCTCGTCGTTGATCATGATGAGCTCGCACTGGTGCGCCCCGCCGTCCCGCTCCAGGAAGACCCGCGCGCTCTGGTTGCCCAGCAGCCGCAGCTCCGGGCCGCTGCCGCGGCACGCAGGCGTTGTCCCCGGAGTCCTCGAATGCGCATTCCAGGATATTGTTGAAGCACGGCAGCTGGTACGACACGCGGCGCAGCCCGCACGTTGAAGTCGTCGGCCAGATCTCTCAGCGCCTCCATGTTTACTTGTTCTTCGGCCCCCGCTGGGCCTGCCAGGCTTCCACCGCGTCCAGCCTGGCCTGGAACCCTTGCACACCCCCCAGAGCACGCTGGTGAGGTGCGAGTAGTCGAGGGTGACCATCAAGTTGGTGAAGCTCGTGTTGCAGACCACGTTGCCCGTGTTGCCGGCGATCACCAGGCAGCCGGGGTTCCTCTGGTTTGTGGTGAGGGGCAGCTGCGTCGAGAGGCTCTTTGTCTGGACCAGCGCCTCGTCGTTGATCATGATGAGCTCGCACTGGTGCGCCCCGCCGTCTCGCTCCAGAAAGACCCGCGCGCTCTGGTTGCCCAGCAGCCGCAGCTCCGGGCCGCTGTCGGAGGCCGCGCTGTTGTTGGAAATCTGCACCTTGCTCCAGCCCCCCCAGTTCTTCGTCAAGAAGAGATCGTCCGAGAAGTCGGAGGTGTTGGTCACGGTGAGCGTGTTGGACGCGAAGAGCTGCGGCGCGGAGACCGTGCCCGAGCTCGTCACGTCGCCGCAGACCACGCTGCGCCGCCCCGGTGATGGTCAGCGTGGCGCCCGTGACCGCCCCGGTGGCTGCGAAGCTCGCCGCGGTTGCTGCGCCTGAGGCCGTCAGCGTGCCCGTGGACACGTCGCCCACCGTGGTGAAGTTCCCGGCGTTGGCCGTGTTGTTGATGGTGAGTGTGCTGCCCGTGATTCCGGTGGCCGAGCTCAGCAGGCCCACGCTGGCCGCCCCGTGATGCTCAGCGAGCTGCCCGACACGGCGCCTGTGGACGACAGCGTGGCTCCGGTGACGGTGCCGGTGGCTGTGAGCGCTGCGCAGGAGACTGCGCCCGAGGCGTCCACGCCCGTGTGAACACGTCCGTGCAGTTCACGTCGTTGCACAGCAGCTGGTCGCAGCCCACGTTGCCCTGCGCGGTGAGCCCGTCCAGCGTGGCCGAGCCCGTGAGGGCCAGCGAGTCCGCCAGCAGGTCCGTCACGGAGACCGACTCTCCCTCGAAGGCTGGCCCTGATCTGCATGCTGTACAGGTCCAGCGTGCCCGCCGACTGCTGCACCAGCCCGGGGATCGAGCCGCCGAAGGCTCCGAAGTGCAGCTTTGCGACTCCGCCCGGCGGCACCGAGAAGTCCAGGCGCGCCGTGCTCCAGACTCCCTGCGAGGGCGTGCCGAGGAAGGTGCCGGTGACGCCCACGTAGTCGTTGTCGGCCGCGCTGACGTACATCACCAAGTTGGAGGCCGTGCCCAGCCGGTGCCGGCAGCCGAAGGAGTAGCGTCTCCCCGGCGTCAGCGTGTAGGTGCGCACGATGTTCCAGGCGAAGGCGCTCAGGGTCATGGCGTAGCCCTCCAGCTGGAAGCCTCCCACCGTGAAGCTGGCCGAGGCCACGGAGCTCTGGCTGTTGGAGCGCACCAGAAAATTGCCTAAGCGTGGTGAGCGTGGGCTCCAGCAGCACCTCGCCCAGGGTGGCCAGCGTGACGTCGTCGGCCCCTCCGTCGAGGAACTCGTGCTTCAGCAGCAGGCCGAGGCCGCCGTGTCCTCCTCCGCCTCCGCCGTGTTGCCGGTCTCCAGGGTTGCGTCCAGGATCTGGAGGCCGTAGACGTCCACCGTTCCTGCCGTCTGGTTGGGCAGGCCCGGCGCCTGGAAGTGCGCCCCGAAGTGCAGCTTCGCAACTCCGTTTGAAGTACATCTTGGCCGTGCTCCAGGCGCCCTGGTCGCCCACGAAGCTGCCATACAGGGGGTCGTAGACGTTGTCGGCCTCGGACATGTGCACCACGAAGTTGGAGGCCGTGCCGAGCCGGTACCGGCAGGCGAAGAGGAGTTCTCGGCCGGGCGTCAGGTTGTAGGTGCGCACGATGTTCCACGGGTTCACCGCCAGAGTCAGGGTGTAGCCGTCCACGCTCACTGCGCCCGCGGTGTGCGTGGCCAGGACCACGCTGCAGCCGCTGCTGGGGCGAACCGTCCACAGTGAGACGTCCGTGGGGCCCAGGATCTGCTCTCCTATGGCGGCCACCACCTCGTCGGCCCCTCCGTCGTCCGGAAAGCGCACGGCTATTTGCAGGGCCGAGGCTGCCTGCGTGACGCCGAGCTTGCCCGCGAGGAGGCCATCCGCCTGTGCGATGGTGTAGTAGCCGAGCAGCGCGGCTGCGATGCTCGAGGCCGTTGCCGTGTCCTGGTCGGCGGCTGAGCGGTACGCCGCCAGCGCCGAGGTGATTTGGTTGGTTGTGAACACGTCCTGGTCCGGGCCCGTCCGGTAGGCCAGCAGCGCGCCCGTGATGGCCGCCTGCGTCTGCGTGTCCTGCGCGCTTGCCGTGCGGTAGTCTCCCAACAGGGCGTCCACTTGCGCCGAGGTGTAGTAGGCCAGCAGCGCGGCCGAGATGGCGCCTGGTCGTCTCCGCGTCCTGCGCCGTGCCCGTCCGGTAGTCTCCCAACAGCGCGTCCACTTGTGAGGAGGTGTAGTAGGCCAGCAGCGCAGCCGCGAGGGCCGCGTCCGCCGCTGCGACGGAGTAGCAGTCGGCCGTGATGCTCAGCGTGTCGTCGCCGTTGGCCAGCGCAGCAGAGAGAGGAGAGATGCAGGTTGCGAACGACGTTGCTTCCGCGAACGAGCTCCCAAGTTGTGAAGCCCGCCCAGGCCGGCGCGTTAACAACTCCGCCGCTGCCGGAAAGCTGCAGGGCGGCGAGCTCCGCGAGGATTGCGTCGAGGGCGCTCTGGAGCGTGGTCTCGCTGGCGGAGAGCGCGGCGTTCGTGGCGTACGAGGCCAGCAGCGTCGCATCGGCCTTGGCGCCCTGGAGCGCCGAGATGCTGGCGTCACGGCTAGCAAGCTGCGCTGCGACGAAGGCCTCGGTGGCGAGACCCAGCAGGGCATTTGCTATCTTGGTGTCTACCTCCAGTGGCGTGTCCAACCCGTCCACCGTGGAGAGCAGGGAGGCCAGCGCGCTTGCGTCCGCCTTGCCGAGGAGGGCGGCGTCCAGGGCTGCCGTGGTGACAGCGTCCAAGAGGGCTGCCGCTATCTTAGAGTCCACCTCCGAGGAAGTGTCCACGGCCGACTGCAGGGCGTAAGCAGTCAGGGCGCTGGCGTCTTGGAGGCCTGCAGCCCGAGATGGAGGCGTCTCGGCTCGCGAGCTCGGAGGCCAGCGTCGCGGCGGTGACGCCCCCAGGAGAGCGTTGGCCACCTTGGTGTCGACCTCCAGCGGCGTGATCCTCGCCGCTATGTCTAGGGAGTGCTGGTCCACCACCGTCTTGAGGCCGTAGTTGGC